AAGTAAAGTAGTTTGATACCTCTGATATATATTGGTTCTCATTTGCGATACATATTAAAAATGATAACCACTCGCCTTACGACAAAAGAAAACATCGTGGTTCTGTATGTCTGAGAGAAGCTTACTAGAATTCAACAAACATGTGAAATGAAGACTTGTGTGTGTTACCTGATCCCCCTTGCATTGTCGGAGATCAAATATGCGTTTTTTCGTGTATAATTAACTATAGTTTGCTATTTTTAATTTGACCACTTAGAAGTATTGATTCTCATTTCATTCAACTTTGCCACCACTTTATGATCCGTTAAAGTGGAATTGTAATAAAAAGCTTGTTTACTGTTACATATTTATGTCATTATAGCAATAGCTTATTGTCCTTCTTTGATAACTGACTCGTTGGTGTAGTGGTCGCCATGTACTGCTACAGATTCAGAGACCCTAGCTTCGAGTTCGGGCCGAGTCATGTATAGTTTTTGTTGTTTTTTAAGAAATTCAAATTTTAAAAATTTAAGAAATTCCCAGAATCCTCTGCGCCTCGGAGATCATCGGTCCTGCGCCTGATCTCTTACTAGTCGTCTCAAAGGGTTGTCCCATCCGAGTTTAATAATGAAAAGGAATATGGGGCTGCGCATTATAATATCTCTAATTAGACTCAGTGGCCAAAATCTAAATCAGAAGGACATTCTTATAATATATTATATATATCTATAGACTGTCCAAACTTCTGCCTTAAAAAAATATGAGTCATTCAGGTCCAACAGCTTGATATAAATAGATAAGAGATACCAAAATAAAAGTAGACGAGTGTCTCAAGTGGGCTTTCCAATTTACGCAATGAGGAAAATTCGAAATAAAGTGAACAAATCTACTGAATCCTAAAGCTTTCGTCAAGTAGTACTCCTCGCTTTAATTTTAGAACCATCACGAGTGCTACCAAATTGATATATTTAGATATTCAATACACCAGATCTGTAAGAAAAAGTAAGAATCGAGAAACAGAAATTGACTTGATTTATTCTCAATGGCTTTTAGAGAGAGAGAGAGAGAGAGAGAGAGAGAAAGAGAGAGAGAGAGAAAGAGAGAGAGAAAGATATTATAACTTTAATCCCTAAGGATAAAATATCACACTTTTACTACAGGCATTTAACTAAAAGTCTTTATGACGAATATGTTATCTATACTTAGTTATTATATAATCTATACTAATATTATAAAGAGGTAAAATTTGTGAGGTTGTAGGGGGTAATCTCTGTATCTACTGAACCGATTTAGATGAAATTTGGTAAGAAGATAGTTTGAGACTCTGGGAAGGACCTAGGATACTTTTTATCCCGGAAAAGGTGGTGAAAATGGGGATGAAAGTTTGTATGGGGAATCAACCTAGGGACGAACCCGAGCGAAGCGAGGATGAGTGGCTAGTTTAATTTATAATTACGTATATTTGTAATTTCCTTCATTGTAAATAAAGTGTTTTTTACACGTTGAGAAAAAAACATTTTTAAATTAATATTATTATTGAGAATTAGCTAGTCTGTGAAGCCAGTCGTTTAAAAATTAAAAAAAATGATGATTTTATATGGAGTTTGAGAAGAAATGGAGCTTAAAAATACATCGAAGTTTTATTAAAATTTTAAAATTAATGAATAAAATTCATATAGCATAGCGTTATGGTTGAAGGAAAACATTCAAACTAACAAACATTTTAATTGAACTTAAAACAATGGTAAAAGTGCCAAATAAATCGTTTTTCTCTTCTTAGACATATTATGTATGTATGTACGTATGTCTGACCATACTTATTTGGCAGCAGATTTGTGCTTTATTTATTAATAAAGCTCAGGAATATTCAATACAACGTTTTTTAACGTTTAGATACTAACGTTAAGTAAAAACGAGGTTAACTATTAAAGCAAATAAAAAACAGCTTTAAAGCTCTCGTATAAAATTACGATTTTGCACTTTAGGCCTTATATAACACATAAAAATTAACAATTTAAAGATTTAAAATAGACTGAAAATACAATACATTAGGTTCAACAAGAGATAATCGAGATTCCTCATGGACTTCATACTCACATTTAATTTGAATTTTGAAAGTGTAAATAGTGACGATTCAAAAGTGCTTGTAAAAGTATGTTTTGTTTGAATAAAGTTTACTGTGATTTGATTTAATAAATTTGATTGAATACATTTTTGATAGTTATAAAGAATCCTGACCCACTCCTAAAGCACTATCAGGTATAAAAATCATAATTTAAGATTCTAAGAGCCTTATCTATCTCGACCTCGACGTGCGATCGATATCTCATAAAATATTGTGTCCACTCAGTCTAGTATTGAATAAGGCTTGCTACACATGAAGGAAATATTTAATTTATTATACTTTTTATAACTTTTATATTTTAGTGAGAGTATAAAAACGTTTTATTTCAAATTTAATTTTGTTATTATTCTATTTGCAGCATTAATCAATTTTTTACTATTAATTTTTACACATTTTATCTAATAAATTATTATTATCAATTCAAATATTTTACAATTATATAGTAACCAACTTATTCATTATTTACAGTTATTTTGAACTAGGAATGCCTAAAATGCAAAATAAAGACATATTTTCCTTCAATAATTTCATGGAAAACACTGTATGGCTTATTATTTTCTAACAAGATATTAAAATAATTAATTGACTTTGATAAAAATCATGATTTAATATTCTAATAGCCTTATCTCGAGTTTGGCATAGAATCAATACTTGATATATTGTGTCCACCGATGTCCGCTACCAAGTGTCGAATAAGGCAAAAACACATTATGTTATATTATTTGCTGTAGGCTATCAGATCATTGTTATGTTGTTTGTAATATTTGACCTGAGGTTAGAGATAGTAGGTATGACTATATAGATCCCTCTCCCTCTCATTTGCGCTCTTCTTCTCTTGGGGGAGGGAGAGGGGCGAGGGGGCTCATTAGCGTCCGGCAGTTCAGCCAAACGCGAAACCAAGAAATACACTGGGAGGTGGCCCACTTCGCTGGGAGGTGTACCATGCGGATTGCACCTGGTACTTCTCTGACGGCAGACCGTTGGAGCAACCCCATGCTTGCTTTCCGAAGCAGACTACAACATCATTTTTTTTTATGTCGGGAAATGCATTTACGCATACCACCTGATCCCCCAGGTGGTGATGTGGGGCTCACCGGCTAGAAAAGCCGGTACTACCCACTAAAACCCGACATTCCCCTCCCCTTCGCCTTAATGGGACGCCGCAGGATCGCTTGCGCGTAACTACTACGGCGCCCCGGAGACTACAACAACCATGGGGTTCTTCTCATGGTCTACTACTACCAGGAGCAACCCGCATACGGTACGGTACACCACCCACCGAAGTACTACCCTACTTGAAAATATACCTATATAAAATTTATTCCATTACGATTTATCGCTAGCCTGAAATAAAATAAAGATGGACGAATATCTGAATTGCAACATGTTACACAATATTTTGCATGTACAAAAGGACACAAATTAAATTATTTTAACATAAAAATTGCCAAACCAATTGTTATAAATAGCGTGTCTGATACAGTGTTTCTGTGCTAGATGTTGTCGTACGATGCTTATCCCAGCCTATTAAAAGCAATCTCAGAGCTAAGTAATTATTCGTCATTTATTATTTCGATAGTGGCGGAAAGCCGAGTACTGAGTGGGATGACCGTTTTATTGACTGGTGACCCATACCGTTAAAATATACATAAATACGAATAAATTATATATATATATATATATATATATATATATATATATATATATATACTTATATATTATTGCTAGCGTTTTCCCGTGGATCCACACTCGCATACTTTTTCATAAGCTCCTACTTTTACGCCAGAGTATGTACTGCCCAAAACTTAATTAGAAAAGACATTTTTTGATTACTTCAATTTTGGTCACTTAAATTGCAGTAACTTTAAAAATAACTGATTTTAATACCATACCATTCACACTTCTTTTTATCCCTTTAGAGGTTGAATTTTCTAAAGACCTTTTTTAGCGGATGCTTTCTCCATATAAGGAACACCTGCCAAATTTCAAGTTTGTACACTTTGTCAGATTCCGTGATTAACCAGTGATTGGTATATTACCATTTTATTTATATACTTATAGATTGTCAAATCTTGCAAAATTCCAGAGCAACGGAATGCTATAATAAAATCAATTTGTAATAAATTATTACCGCCATTTCAAAATCTAGGGCCGATTATCTTGTCAGTGTTCGATCAATATCTCATCAATTGTGGCTATCCAATAATACTAGCAAAGGCGGTGTAATAAGGCGATCATTACACGCTTGTAGCAATGCATTAGTCACAGGGAGTTGGCGACTGTAGGAGTATTAATATCATATTATTATACAAATATATTACTTAACTAAATACGAAAATTGGATTTATTGGGACTTTTTTTTAACTTTGCTTAGAACTCCTTATTATGATAATTATAAATTAAAAATTTAAAAAACCCCCTACGAAAATTAATTGTCTTTTAACGATTACACTGGCACGCGTGAAGTACTTCATTGAGTAATCATACGTCAAAATGCGTTACATCATTTTGGAAAAGAGAAACACACACACAGACAGATAGGCATCGACGTTAAACTTATAACACCCCTCTATTTTGCATCGGCGGTTAAAGACTTGAAAATATGATACTTAAAATAAAAACAACATAACATATAATACCGCACACTTGCAACAAGACAGGACGTACCTAGCTATAAATTCAGCATTTTTTAACGTCCCACTGCTATTGGGCACTGGGATCAGGCCATAGTCCACCACGCTGGTCAAAAGTTTATTTTTGCTTAGATTTTAAAAGTTAGAACAATTAAAAAGTTAAATGGAATTCTTGAACAGTGACATAATAAATGTTTTCCAATATACGCCTTAATAGCACCTGCACAGGTACTTTTAACTAATAATTGCTATTTTTATTACAGGATACAAGAACGCATGTCGTGGTCGAATTGTATGAGACTGAAAAGTCTTATGTGGAGGCCTTGGAGATTTTAGTTAAGGTAAGCTATTTTTATTTATACTTTTTTATTTACATATGTATATTATTGGAATGGGATGAAATGAGATTTATTAGTGAAATGGATTTTTTCCTACGTTACGCTTTATCTAAGTAAGCAAAAATTTCTCAATACTAAGTTAATATTATAAATGTGAGATTGTATTTATTATAAATGTGAAATATATTCGTTGTTATTTTTAAGAAAGAAAGGTACTCGTATAGAGACACGATGCCTTTATCAATTATATGAACCTGTGTATTTTTTAAGAAATAGATTTAAAAGTCTTAAAAATTGTTCATTAAAGTATAGGCAGTCCCATCTCGTGTACATAAAAGCTTCCTATTTCCCTAATTATGTTTTTTATAGAAAGACAAATATAAGGACTTAGGTATATGAGACAAGATGTCGTTCTACAATCGTCACAGAATAGAAATCTTAAGAAATATTATATGACTAGCATTGCCCGCGGCTCCGTCCGCGTTCAGATGACCAAAAACCAAATTCTTAGGTTTTACATATTATTACATTGTAGTTTTTGTATTTTTTCTCAGAAATGAGACATTTTCCCGCGGTAAAATGTATCCTATATGTTGACCCGGATAACCAGCTATCACCATACCAAATTACATCAAAATCTCTCTAGTGGTTTTTCTGTGATGTGGTAACATACAGACAGACAAAATTTTTAAAAACTATAGATTCGGCCTCTGTATCGATAATAATGTTATTTCAATAAGGTTTTCCAAAAAATATTTAATTTACAGATTCGGTTTAGTTACAATTTTATTATAAGCGTAGATAACGACATCTTATGATTCTATGACAGTCATAACGATGTGACATTTCGATACAATTTTAAAACTTGTATTCCAAACTGATTGTATAATGATATCGTTTCTAATCCTCAAGGCTTGTTTTTCACTCCATTCAATAATTTCAGTAAGAAATTAATCTCGCAAAAAGTTAAAAGGCAGTGGTAGCCCAGTGGTAACGCGCTCGCTTGGGAAACCGAGCGAACCGAGTTCAAATCCCGGGTCTCGCACCTCTGATATTTTCATGTGCGAATCATTTTCAACATGATTACCACTTGTCTTAACGGTGAAGGAAAACATCGTGAGGAAACCTGCATGTCTGAGAGAACTTAGCAAGTTTTCGAAAGACGTGTGAAGTCCGCCAACCCGCACTTGGCCAGCGTGGTGGACTATGGCCTGATCCCCCTCGCATTGAAGGGAGGCCCGAGCCCAGCAGTGGGACGTTAAAAAAGGTCTAAATACAAAAAGTGACATTGACACACGTGTATATTATACGTTTATTGTGTGCACTACATTATAATATACTAAATAAACCTTATTATATTATAATGGAAATTTAACAGGATATAAGGCCAAATGATGGAAAATTTCAAACACATTTTATGTCACTCTTAAATTATAAGGGCATCATAAAATTATAATAATAACTCTGTCCGTCCATCCGCTCTAAATTAACTGGGTGACAAATTCATGATATTTACGTACTTACCGAAATATCAGGGCTGGTAGGCTGGCATGAGATAGGCGCGAATTTTCCTCCTTTCCTCGATATTTATCACAAAGGACGTTTAATTCATTAATACATGTAGCATGAAATGATATGAATAATTGCTAAGTGCTTCAAAGTATTTGTTGTTTAGTAAAGATTGATGATAATCTTAAGGAAAAGAAAATTTACATATAGAATCTTATTACATTAAATGCGAAAGAAAATAATAGGTCTAGACTAGACCACTATCTAGACCTCTATCTAGACCTCTATCTAGACCTAGAGAATATGCTCTTATATTGACATATAACTATTAAAATTTTAAGCCTTTTTTTAATTTAAACACTTACGCGAGCAACGGGATAAGAAATTTTATATAGTAAATCATATTTTTCTGACTATTTACATAAAATTTTTAATGTTTGTACAAATAAATGTTTTAATATTTTTAATAAAAATAAATAAATATGTTGGGACATTAACACACGTACATGCAGACGATGTTGGCTACGAATAAAATCCCACCTAAGGAGTGAACAGTTTCCATGCTATCTTAAGCTTTATAATAACAACTAGCAGAACCCGCGGCTTCGCTCGCGCTAAAACTACAAAAAATACTCTAAAAGGCTAGGTTTCATATAAATTTTCATCCCCTGTTCTACCCCCTTATGGGTTGAATTTCGAAAAATGCTAAAGCACGTATTCATTTAATTGTATTGAAGAGCATAAGTATCAAGTTTCCAGTATTTCTGATCATAATATGTTTTTGGGTTGTTTTATAACGTATTTTTCCGTCGGAATGACATAATATCCCGCGGTAAAATGTTGCCTGTGCACTGTCCAGCCATTCAACTAACTTAACACAAAAAATCATGCCAATCCCTCACTCTGTTTCGACGCGAAAGAAGGACAAACAAACAAACAAACAAACACACTTTCACATTTATAATATAAGTATGGATTACATTTTACTTTAATAATAACAATAATTAATTTCTCTGAATATATCAAACTCACGTGAAGACGAAAATTAAAGGCATATTCTAATTATTATCTAAATGTGTCATGCTATAATTTAATATTAAACTTAAGTAACTTAGTTGTTCGCAAGTTGTAAATATGCAGCTGACGCCTGACACTGGATCACTTTCAGTGAAGAGTAATACTCATAGGGTTGGTAGACTGAAAATCTATTTAAATATTGTAATTACTAATAAAATTTCAGTTTAATTTTTTGTATTTAAATTCATCTTTTTGATTAACTTTAAAAAAAATGTCATGTCACGCAAGGTCTTGATTAATTGTAATTATATACAATGACTATCGACTCACCCTCGCTTCGCTCGGGTACGTCCTCTGTAAAATATGTATAATATATAGTTTTACAATATTATATATATATATATATATATATATATATATATATATATATATATATATATATATATATTATATATATATATATATATATATAGTGTTTCGAAGTTGTGACGCCTTTTCATTGACTTGATTTATAAATGAGGTTTCGAGTTGATGATCTTTATATCGTTAAAGCACTCTAGATACAGATTATATGCTAAATACCTTAGATGTCTTTTTATATTATTATTTCGTGTAATGTAATCTTGAAGCCATTTTTAAAAAGTTTTTAAAATATTTGGATATTTTATTTATTTTTTTAGCTATTGGTAGCTTGGTCCAATCATAAAACTGGAATGTTGTCTATATAAAAATATGAATGTGAAAACGAATCAAAAAATACTTATAGTATGAGATAAAATGTATTCGTTCAGGAAAAATAAATCTAGCAATGGCGAATATTTCATATATATCTCGAAATAGGTTATCACTTCTGAACGGCTGCAGTGAACTGATATGTTATTCAATTTTGTATTTACAGGATTTACGTCTCTATTAGACACTAGCGACTCACCTATTGTAAAACTATATATATATATATATATATATATAGAGAGAGAGAGAGAGAGAGAGAGAGAGAGAGAGAGATAGAACAGAACTATTTAAAGTCTTAATGGCATCCATCGCCGGTGAAAATTTTCCGCTTCAACGCGGCTTTCCTCTCGCAGCTTTATTGCATTACTGACAAATGTAACTTTAAGCTGGATTGCAGCTCTTATAAATCCGATTGCATATTTTGCATTCATTAACCGAAGATCTTGTTGGAATATAAATTTTATAGTAATTTATTATTAAGCAAAAGTAGGCTTTTAAAGGTTATTTTAGCAGCCTTTAAAGTATAACTATTTTTTAAAGTATTGGTTTAATTAAAGCTCGGCGAGTAATAACTCTTTTTAGAATCAGAATTTCTTTTGTACTTTGTTAAATGGCTTTTCGAAGGTAGTACCATGTTTTCTTTGAATTTTATACAAACCGTAATTTTAACATTGGGAAATGCATTTACATATATCCCTTGCATACATACTGGGGAACTCACCAGCTAGAAAGCTAAAACCCAACGGAACCTCCCCCGTCTTATTGCAACACCGTGACGGCCATGGGGTTGCTTCAACTGTCCACTCTGCTATCAAAGTACCAGGAGCAACCCGCATGGCACTCAGCCCACTGCAGTAAGCCGCCTTCCAGTGCGTTTCTTGGCTTCATGCTCAGTTGAATTGCCGAACGATAAAAATTTTATTCGAACTGGCATTAACGTTAACATGATTTTATAGTTAAAATAACTCACAATTTGCACACAGGATGCGGAAACGAGTGTTCAATCTTACTAGAACGACACTCGAACGATCTTGAAATATCATATTATGTGTTGACAAATTGAAAGCGAAAATCTTTATACAAAATTCTTTACAGTGTAAATCGGATCCTAATATATTTTTGAGTGATACTTTATTTTTCTCTGAACGAAATATTTGATTACAATTATTTGTATCGATTCCGATTACTACTTTAAACATAGTAAGATATTTATTAGGCGTACGATTTCCCGTTTCAAATCGTGCGAGAAACCTCGAGGGTTCTTTCCGTGTATTGGGATCAAAGCTTGCTTAAAATTGATTAAGTTCATGGTCTAAGGTACGAAGTAAGTTCGACCTTCACCCATTTGCCTGTCGGATGAAAATGATATTTTATCGAATGAAATTTTAATCAAATTACATATTATATATATTGTATGCTTCCTATTTGACTTTGATTCGTTTAGCAAGCAAGTCGGTGAAATTAAAAAATAATTGATTAATAACATATTTATTTATTATTAAAATAGTTTTTCTCACATATCTTCCATGTACAGACAGCGATCAGTTGCAATTTTATTATATGTACTAGCATTATATTATGTATTGTATTATATGTACAAACACTGTGACACGAGAATTTTATATACCTATTAGATAGATTATATGTATACTCGTAGATTAATGTGGATAGCATTAAAATTTAATACATTTTATATTTTCAGAAATACCTCCAACCACTTAAAAGTCCTGAGAACGCTGGTCTTCTCGACGCGTTTGTAGTAGATGAGATATTCTACCAAGTACCAGCCATTTTAAATGTACATCAAGTCTTTCTGGAGCAGTTAAGGCGAAGACTGGAACAATGGGATCTGCAACAGAAAGTTGGAGACGTCTTCTTAGATGTGGTAAGTGTGAAAGTAATAGCTTAAAAGCTTCTTAACCGAGTTCTAAAAAGCAGGATTTTTCTTTACCTATACGAGTAATTACATATAATAATAGGCAATATATTTGTTAAATATACCTTATTTAAAAAAAAACATTTACATACATTTCAAGAAAAATCTATCTAAATCAAATAATATATATTACTAGAGTATTAGACTTATAAAATATTATTTTAATAAATAACAAACAAGCATGATGCTATTTATTTTGTATATAATAAGCTAAGACATATATTTTTTTACTTATATATAGGTATTTTTGAACCCCTGATGCACAAAGAGTGGTGTTATAAGTTTGAAGTCGATGTCTGTCTATCCGTGTGTGTGTCTGTCTGTGGCATCGTAGCTCTCAAACGGATAGGCCGATTTCGATGTGGTTTTTTTCATTTGAAAGTCAGTTTCTTCGCGGTAGTTCTTAGCTATGTTTGGTTAATATCAGTCCAGCAGTGTAAGATAATTAGCTCCTTTGCAAAATGATGTAAGGTACTTTGGCGTATGATTACTCGATTAAGTGCTTCACGCGTGCGAGTGTAATCGTTAAATGACAATTAATTTGCGTAGGGGTTTTTAAAATTTTTGATTTACAATAATCTTTACTTTTATTTTTCACAGTTTACAAAACCCACCGTGATGGACACATACATGTCTTTCATAAACAATTTGAAAAAAGCGAAGGAAACTATAAAAAATGCAGCGACTTCAAGGCCTGCGTTTGCAAAATTTCTCGACGCTATGGCAAGAGACCACAAAGGAAAACTATCTTTGGACAATCTTCTTATAAAACCAGTACAAAAGTTCCCGAGTTATAAGCTCCTGATACAAAGGCTGATAAAACATACAGGTATGGAAACAATAAATTATAATAAATTAATTTTTAATACTACGAATATTATTATGGTGTATAGGTGTTTGTTGTCACTGCAAAATAACAACTGATGTACAAGATTTTGAGCTTCTTTGCATAGTTCGTTTACACTTTTTACGCTGGTAACTAAAGTGAATCCTGGAATTATGATTTTAATTAAGATTAAATCACGATATCGTGAGAATTACAGCTGAAATATAGGTATAACAAATATATAAAAAAATTAGTTTACTAAATAGATCACTCTTCTGTTTTTATTTAGGAAATAATATTTTTGGTTGGTACGTTTTAACACCTGTACTACGTCGTTCCTTGAATTGTTTGATTATGTTTCACCAATATTTTAGACATATCTGTTTTGATAACCTTTTCTTTGACTTTGTTTTTAACTTTTTACTACGAGACATAACTAGAATTCGCTAAGCAAAGTCTTTGAAATATATATTTGATTTTGTTTAAAATTCTATTATATCTATTTACAGACCAATCTCACCCCGACCATAAATTACTGATCGAAGCTCAAAAAGAAATTCACGATTTGTTGGAACTGATAAACTGTACTGAGCGAGAGAGTTTGGAGCTCGAACAGCAACAGCAGACTCTAAGGGATCTAGAACAAATGATCGAGGGTCTATCAAATCTGGTGATAGCAGATAGGACGTTTATTAGACACGAAATGGTCACGATGCCTTCAGCCCAAGGGACCATAAAAGATAGAGCCCTCTTTCTGTTCAACGATTCTCTACTCATTACAAGTGTTAAGAGAAGGACTGGCACTATAAAGAAACCCATTCCGTAAGTTTTTATGTAATTTATTCCATTTGTATCGTTATACTAGCATTTGCGAGGTTACTTAAATAAATAAATAAATAAATATGTCAGGACATTAACACACAGCGCCATCTAGTTCCATGGTAAGCTACGAGGCTTGTGTTATGGATACCAGATAGTTGATACATTATACATATATAACTTTAAATACATACATGTTATAAATATAAACACCCATGACTGGAGTACAAACATTCGTGCTCATCACACAAACGTATGCCCCCAGCGGGACTCGAACCCGCGACCTTTGGCGCAGCAAGTAGGATCACTACAAACTGAGCCAAACTTTCTCTTATTTACGCGAATATTTGACATTCCACAAGTATATTATTATATATAAATGCGAAAGTTTGGATGGATGTTTGTTACTTTAATCACGCCGGAACGGCTGAACGCGTCTGGATGAAATTTGGTACAGAGATAGAGTATAATCTGGAATAGCACATAGATTATTTTTTATCCCGGAAAAATGTGGGATAGATTAATAAAATAAGTAAATAAAATAAAACTATCTTTTCGGTTTTTTTCGTGGATTAATTTTGATTTTTGGTTTCCAACGTTTCGAATGCTTTACAGCAATAGACGTCTCAAAGCTGCCCTCCCGAGCCTAAAGTGCAGTAACAGCAAAAACACGAATTCGAGAAAAACGCGCCTAAAGTTTAGAATCCATAAAAATATATCAAAAAGAGACTTTTCGATAAAACCTTGAATGGAAAGTGAAAGAATATGTACCAAACTAAAATACTAAACATTGTTACGTTAGTTTTTTTATAAAAAACTATAATTATGGCAATTTTAATTTTTTAGCCCCTATTACTACACACACTTTATTTGTATAATGTTTTCAAAAACTGTTTTAAATGCAGTAAATCCTGTTATTACTGCATTTTAGACATTTCTTCCATGATTGTTACTAACTAAAGTGCAGTAATATTATGAAAATACTGCTATTTAATCTGTTTTTTTGAACAAAACACTGATATTCCACACTTATAGTAATATAAAACTACCTTTAATTTTGATAAAAATATGTAATTTCTTAAACAAAACTGGACATGCATTTATGACTATGCTATTAAAACTATCCATCAAAACATTGTACATTATCTAATAGTGTAAATTGTTTTATATGACTAACAATATAACAATCTTTACAAGATGTTGATAATCTTAACTAGTTAATCCACCATAAAACTATATCACATGTATTTCTCATGCATGGATCAATAAAATTTACATAAAATCTTTCTTCCGAACATAACTAATTACTAAATGAATATTCTTGTCTTACAAAAATAATAGTCTGAAAAGATTATGGAAGGGAGAACCAAGAAGAATTAACTTATATGGGAAACAAGTTGAAAAAGTGTCCAGTAGTGAGCAGCAAATTATAGCTCAGAAACTCACCGTTACAGCACTAGCGTAGCAAGTAGATGTGATGTGAAGTTAGTAGTTTTTAACGGAGTGAAGTGTGCTGAATTATTATTACTTGAAAATAATATATAATTATATTGCTGTTTGCCTATGCTAGAACTATTTTGAAAAGTGCGCCACAGCAAAGCGGAAATCTTTCTTTCCTTGTTTAATTCACCTTCTTACTTTTATGACGCTATGTTTTAAACTAGCGACTCACCCTCGCCTCACTCGGGTTCTTCCCTGGATACTTTTTTTTTTGAGCGGAACTCTAATTCTTTTTAAAAAATAAAAGTAGCCTATATTACTCCCTATAACATCAGTTACCTTCCACTGAAAGTCCGTCAAAATCAGTCCAGCCGTTTCAGAGATTATTCGGAACAAACAGACAGACAAAAAATTTTAAAAATTAGTTTTTCTTATAAGTACCGTATATAATTTCATATGCATTTAGTGAAAAGGTTTATTTTGACATTACAAACAGACACTACAATTTTATTTATCTGTATAGATGTATACATTCATATACTTGTTTTCTGTGGCGCCACCAATTTAATGCTTGTCAGCGGTCACTTTTTATACGAGAAATAGTTCTCCTTAGTTCTACCCTCCATATCTCTTTGGTACAGACACAGCATGGCATGTCAAGTCAGCCTTAAGATCACAGATCCTTGAGACAGACAGACAGAAGGACTGCCTCAAACCGCGATATTGCCTGTCCTGTGTTTTAATATTTTAATAATTTTACCTATTAAAACGCAGTATTAGGGAATAGTATTTGACTTTAAGTATTTTAGGTAGTATGACTTGGATGGAGCAAACTAACTAATATGCAGTAAAATTTATAAATATTGTAAACTAAATGGTCTTTTACAAGCAACTACAAAACATCCTACAAGTTAAACTGCAGTAAAGTTATTAAATACTGCATGTCTTTTAGTTTTTCACAAGAAATTACAAAATCCCCCACAAGTTAATGTGCAGTATGGAATGTTAATACTGCATTTTAATAAGTTTTTTCTTGAATCTCCTAGAACAAACTACTATTTTAAGTGCCACAAAATATGATAAAACACTGCAGTTTAGTTAGGAAACAGAGAAAAATCTTGTGCAGTATTAATTGTACTGCGGTTTAGCTGGTAAACATGGAATATTTTAACAGATTTGTGATATTTTTGCTGTTACACCTTCCGAAAAAACATTAAAATAAAATACTTTTATTAGCGCTACAGAAAAAAGAATTAATTTGACTGATAGCTACTAAAATGGGGATTTTGAATATATAATTAACTCAAAACCGACCAAAATGTCTATTACTGCACTTTAGGCTCAGGTGGGCAGAAAGGTCATGTAACGACTGTAACAACTATATAATATTGTTTTTATTGTTTTATTTAACTGTTGTTGTTAAATAGTTTTTATATTGTGTCATACCTCTTTTCATATACTATATTAGTGAGAAGTTTTGCCTTGTACTATATGAGTTGTTAATTCGATTCCCGTTTGCATGAATAAATATATATATATACTTGAGTTTCTCTCTTAAAATTTCAGATTTTAAATATTGCATAGAAAGTTTAATAATATTTTCTCTAATTACAGAACGTACCAAAGTAGTATAGCGAGTCAAATGGAAGGAAATAAATTTAAACTTCTAATGAGGATATCTTTAGCTGACGTGGAAATCGTTAAAGGTGAGATATAGATGATGATAAAATGTATACTTTTTTTGTACTAGATCGCGACTACGTGCAATTATTGACTTACTTTACTCTAACTTCGATATTATTTAAAATTAAATACCAATGTTACAAATAAATAAAATGTATATATAATAGGTATTTATATTCGTATATTAATTGTATATATAAAAATCGATGTGTTTGTATGTTCCCTATGGATTCCAAAAAGGCTGGAGCGATTATGATTAGTTTCTAGGCTAATTTTTGATTAGTCTAGCGGGTGATCCTGTGAATTTTAGTAGCGATCGGAAGTTTGAACACGGGCGAAGTCGTGGGTACTGCTAGTATGAATGCGAAAGTAATTATGTCTGTTTGTCTGTTATCTTTTTGTGCTTAATCCGTTATAGTGAGTCAAATGAAATTTGGTATGAAGATAGTGTGAGACTCTGGAAAGAACATGGGATAGCTTTTATTCCGAAAATCATGCCTTAAGGGGGTGAGGAGGATCCATGTGGATTAATCACTTCTCAAGTAAAGGATATAAAACCTATCATACCGATATGTATAATATGGTCTATCTATTCCATATCAAAAATTAAAAAGTCGCTAGTAAGTTAATATTTATTTTATATACTGATTCCCCTACCCTAAGGTTGCCTGGAAGAGATCACTTGTAGCGATAAGGCTTGCTGAGCATCTTTTGTTGTTACGTATATATATATATTTCACTTCTTTATATATTTCTTGTGTGGTGTAATAAAGTGTTCATTATTATTATTATTATTTCCAATACAAGTCACGTAAACCAAACAAATTGTACAGCAAAAGACGAAAACATTCGTCGTATAATACACGAAGTGGAGACGCTGACGGAGGACGTGAACACGCTGGCGCGCATCTCGGAGCTGGTGGCGGCGCTGCGCGCGCCGCACGCCGCGCTGGAGGAGCTCGTGCGCGAGTCGCTGCTGGCCGCCGGCCGCCAGCTCGCGGACCGGCAGAGCAGCGACACACAGCTCTGCTATATGGAGATCAGTGTTAACACTTCGTCAGTATATTTCTATACATCCCTACATAGTGTAAAACAAAGTTATAAAAAAAAAGTTGCTAGTATACATAAAATTGTAGTGTCTGTATATACGATTATACAAAATAAACGTTTTTCCAAGTATAAAGTTATCTATATGATATCAATACTAAACGACTCCTTTTAAAAATTTTGTCTGCTTGTTTATCTGTGATAATATTTGTTACGGCGGAGGAGAATCAAGCTACAATCCTCCACGCTTTGAATGCGGATGGATTGTTTTTTTATTGACTAATACACTTATGTACATACTTATATTATATATATTTTTTTTCAGAAGTGGTCCAGAGAATCTTACAATAATATTCCCTAAAACCGAAAAGAGAAGTAATTGGGAGGAACTAATAAATGAGACCAAACAGAAATTGAGTGAGTATTTTATACGTATATTTGATTTTTGAATTATACATCTTTATATATATAATTCTTCTGTGAGTGTGTATGTCACTGAACTTCTCTCAATCGACTGGACCGATTTTGATGAAATTTTTTGTGTGTATTCAAGGGGATCTGGGAATGGTTTAGATTCACAATTTGAATAATAATTTTCATCAAAATGGTCCAGAATGTTTTAGCTTATTAAAAAAAGTTTGAAATTTTCAAATTAAAGACGTGTAGACAGGACAACGTCTGTCGGGTCCGCTAGTGTTTATATATAACTATTAAATTAACTTTAACTTTTCCTATTGAGTCGCCTTAGTTTAAATGGCTAACGCTGGCCAAACCTTAAGAGGTACACAAAAATAAATTACTAAATATAAATTAAGCTACTGTTTTTATGTATTGAAAACGCACCTAAAGATGCGCTCTAGAGTAGCGAGGGTACGTCGTTAGTTTTATAATAGAAATAAAAAATAATCATGAGACTGAAATAGATATAAAATAAATGTAACTTTAATAGTAAAATCTATACAGGGGTGGTCGAAACGTTGATTTCCAAAAATAAAATTTAGGCCTCTCGTATCGTAGGGTATCCGAATCACTGCCCTGTATGTAACGCGAATTTTCATAGTTTAGGAGTTATGATTTTTTCTTAATTTTTGAGAATTTTCGACCTGTCAATTCAAATTTAAAAAAAAATTAGTAGACTTTGTCGAGATTTGTTTTTGCAGATAAATCCTCATAAGTATTACTTTTTTGAATAAAATTATCAGCTTCGTAACTGTGATGAAAGTTATGAAAATGTTGGTCTTAAGTGAAAAATTTACGTTCGGTCAATTATGACTTACAATTTGCACACTAACATTCCAGGTGTATACGGTCCAGAACGTCCAGCTCCTGAGTTCCTCTCGCCGGTCCCCATACGGAAGACGCGCGCCGGCCTGCAGTTCACTTGCGCGGCGCCCACGCTGCCGCCTAAAGGGCAGTCGCCTGATGTTTGGGTGAGATTTACTGATAATCTTTCTATATTTACTGATAATCAATCTTACTGAGACTAGCCAGATGCTCAGGAGATATTATAGTACACAAGTGTATGCGCAGACACAACGTGCACTCTCTATTCTTGTCACTCTCAAAGTCCAATGGAAAGATACTTCGACACGACCGGTGAGAGTTACAGCGCGGGGTAAAACATCGTCTAGTTCCCAACTCCGGGGTACTACTGAGAATATCTTAATAGAAAAACTCAGTAATTAAACTATGCGTACCCCGGGGCTTGAACCCAGGACTCAAGTACCAAGTGCTCATTCATTCGCCAAATGTGCCGAGTAACGTGCGATAAGGAACTTCGTCCAAAAACATTGATATATAAAAACTCAAGATACACAATAATTAGTGTTTCAAAAGTGTCCTCAAAAAGAAGTGCACAGTTCGAAATTAAATTGCGCTTTTTTCAAATTTATTTTCTTCAATGCACGCTGTTTCGTTTAAAAAAGTACGTTATGTGCATGAGTTCGAGTTTGTGTTTAGACAATTAGGACTTTCGATTTTTGAACTTTATTCTTTGGTTTGACTGAACTTTTTGAAGAGATATTTGTTAGGAAAGGTGTATCTATATTTTTATATATCAATGTTTTGGTCGATGGGAATGGACTGAGCAATACTGTCATGAAATTGACAAAGAGAGTAAGCGAACGTGCGGCCGATACCCGTTTTTTATTCGAATTTCTAAATGGAACTAGCATTTCCCACGGCTCCGCCCGCGTTCAGATGACCAAAAACTAAATTCTTAGGTTTTACATATTAGTATACTTTTACATTGCAGTTCTTATATTTTTTCTTAGAAATTAGGTATTTTCCCGCGGTTAAAAGTATCTTATATGTTGACTCGAATAACCAGCTATCACCAAACCAAATTTCATCAAATCCCTCCAGTGGTTTTTCTGTGATGCGGTAATAGACAGACAGACAGACAAAAATTCTACAATCTATGGATTCGGCCCCTGTATCGATAATAATGTTTATTTCAATAAGATTTTCCAAAAAATATTTAATGTACAGATTCGGCTTAATTACAATTTTATTATAATAATGTATAGGTGTAAAAAATATAATATTATTGAAAATTACAATATTATAATAGAATGTAAAATGGTTTTAAACATTTATCCTCATTAACCGTTCAAAAAATACTCGTTTTGTCTATATCTTTTTCGCCATTTTTACTTCCCAGCTGGCAATGAAACACAGTTCATTCTCTATGTAAAATAAAATAAAAAATAAAAATAGTTTTATTTCTTAATAATCTTTACAATAATTATGTTCGAGTCTTCCCAATAAGCGATCCGAGGATACTCGTGTTGGGAATGGCCCGCGCTTCTTCCCATATTCATACTCTATGATTAAGTGGGTGATACTTTTTTAAACTATATATTAAGGATCTATGTATATGCAAAAAACCAATTATACGTCAGGTATGCAACAGCGACGGCTACGTGGGGCAGGTGTGCGTGCTGACGCTGACGCCGAAGCCGCAGGTGACGTCCTGCAACGGCGTGTGCAACGCGCGCATCCTGTGCGTGGCGTGCGTGCCGCCCGCGCCCGCGCCCGCGCCCGCGCCCGCCCCCGCGCCCGCGCTCGCCCGGCAGCACACGCTCGACGTACCGTACGTGCTCGCTTGCTAACATATCATATATTGTGGTAATAGAAGCGGGTTCAAATCAGACAAGGGTCTACCACTTCTGATATTTTCGTGCCTTGCCCAGCTGTGGGATGTTACAAAGGTCTGAATATTATACTTGATACGCCTCATCTTATACTATTCTCTTTATACATTATTATCTCTACTTTTACCACAGTAATAAAATCAGAATAAAGAAAAATTAGTTCAAATAAATGTCAATAGATGACGCTACATGTATCGATTTTTTTAAAGTTATGTTAAATTAGCAAAAAATAAAAAAATAGATCCCAAAAAGGTGTATTATTGTTTAAAAAAAATCTAATATATAAAATTTCCATGTCACAATGTTAGTTACCGTACTCCTCCGAAACGGCTTTACCAATTTTTACCAAATTTTATATGCGTATTCAGTAGGTCTGAGAATCGGCTACTATCTATTTTCCATACCCCTAAGTGATAAGGGTGGACCACCCTAGGGACGAACCCGAGCGGAGCGAGGGTGAGTCGCTAGTATTATATAACGAAATAATGCGCCTGTAAATCAAATTTGCATAATTTTACTGATATTGAAATATCAGCAATCAGATGATGGGTTTGTAGTATATATTCACAGGTGGCGTTGTTATTTTTTATTAATTGTTTATCACAACTAAAAATAGTAAAATTACTGATTTTTTTATTCGATTGCATCATGAGTTTTACAACAACATTTCGTATTCATTAGTTTGCACATATTTATAAAATAAAAGTTTAATTATTTGGGAATCAACGACATCTATTATCTATTCAAGCCAACAAAAATAGCCAGAAGAATAGTCCCATTTAGCGCTGTCCAATTTTTTGTATGGGATCTGTGGTTTGGACGTTTTAGATTTTTGTAACGTTAATTATTTCGCCTCAAAATAAAAAAATAAAAATTTAAAAATCTTAAAAAAAAAACAACTTTCAAGTAAAACATCATTCAAGGAGGCCGGCCAATCAAAATGGCAAAAAACCCTCAGAAATACGAATTTAATGCAGAGAAATCAACTAAAGTTATGTCATATGTTTTTAGGAGTACGAGTTCATTGAACAGCACTGGTTCCAAACCTGGAATCAGCATATCAGATCCAGATGAAAGTTCCAAGAGTATACGATTGGACAGGTACTTATCTATCTTTAAACATGAAATGTTCGAAAAATTTCTCAGCTATTTAAGTTATAAATCTAAAATTTAACACAAATATATCTATATATTTGTACGTGTATTATATAACCTTAACAATATCCAGTTCATCATCAAGCGACGATGACGACGACGGGTCATCAACCAGCGAGAACCAAGACGCAAATTCCGAAAGGAGCCAAGAGTCCGCCAGTCTCCGCCTCCATCTCTCCGGCGGACTCTCCGGACTTTCCACCAAGACCCTCACTCCGAACCACAGTAAGAGTCTCAGTACTCCGCACACTGGACAGAGCATTCCAGTACATCCTGTGATGAAATCCAGTTCCAACCCGGCGGTAGACAAACAGGCTATGGGCATTAATTCTGGTAAGCGATTTGAATTATGAGAATATTTCATTCGATTTTTGTACATGACATTTATCATCATATACATATTTATTAATTATCCCGTAAATATCATGAAACTTTACAGGAAAGTGATAAATTTTTAGCACAACATATTTTATTGTTCATATTATACTGTACCCAATAAAGATGTCTTTCCGCAATTTCTTACTGGTAGTGGTGCCACGAGTATATATTACATATATCCATTTATGGTATAAATATATCTGAGTTTTTTTAAAGTAGCCGGGACTTACGAAGTTCAGTAAAAATTGCAATAAATTAATTCTGTTTTTTTTTGTATTGTTAATTTTGATAAGCCTAAATAAGAACTTATTACATTTTATCAAAAACTAGCTGTTTCCCGCGGTTACACCCGCGGAAAATTTGTTTCGTAATAAATATCAGTTTTACAAGAATGTATGGAAGTCTGCCTGATTTGTTGACATTTAAGATTACTGCTTCGCTCCCTTGGGTAGTAACAGGATGATATATAGCCTATAGCCTTCTTCAATGAACGTGTTATTTAAAGCAAAAAGAATTTCAAATCGGATTAGAAGTTCCTGAGCTTAGCGCGTTCAAACAAACAAACAAACAAACAAACAAACAGACAGACAAACAAACAAACAAACTCTGCCTCTTATAATATTAGTATAGATTTTGATTATCTTAACGGTTAATATAAATATTTTCTTTTGGAATACGCTATTGGTGCCATCTGTGCTGCATCATCCGTAAGACCGCCATTGATTTCATATGCATGCTGCAAAGAAAATTTTACCTGAATTTAATTAAGCTACACCTTTTTTTTTCAAAATCAAGACAGTGTTTGACAAACTAAAAATTTACACCTATTTTTTATCAACATAATATACGTATTGTTCCCTGAACACTTCCAATTTTAAAATTAGATTTTTGCACTGTCAGATAAATATTAGATACCATTATTTTTATTTTAAAATAAAAGATTGTAATTTTTATAATCTTTACCCTCTATTTTATCTTTCGAAGTTTATCTGGTGGTTGCAAAAGCCGTACATTTTAGATTTTATATGTAATTACTCACTTCTTTACCAATTACACCTAAATATACATATATGTACACTAAATATATACTCGTACCTTAGCATTAGCTAGATCTATATTACCAATAATTTCGTTTAAAACCCCTTCTTGAAATATGTTTATGCACTATCCTATTAATTGTTTATTGCAACGTAGTTCCTGGACGAATTATGGCTGGTATGAACCTTTATGTACTTCCTTAATAATGTCTATAGATATAATTTTTTTTTTAGATCTATTCTGTTTTTCTCCAATAAGTTGATTTTGAAATTATAAATTGTCTGATAATATCTTTAATAGCCATTGTTCTTATTTACAACGTTTATAATGTACTATCATTGATATATAAAAACATAGATACACATTTCCTAACAAATATTGCTTCAAAAAGTGGCGTCGACAATTGTGACGTCAAGTTAAACCAAAGAATAAAATTCAAAAATTGAAAGTCCTAATTATCTAAACACAAATTCGAACTTACGCACACCACATAAAGTACTTTTTTAAACGAAACAACGTGAGTTTTAATTTTTTAATCTGAAAAGCAATGAACAAAAGACATTTGAAAAAGGCGCAATTCAATTTCGAATTGTGCACTTCTTTTTGAGGACACTTTTGAGACGCTAATAATATATATCTAATAATGTATATCTTGAGTTTTTCTACATCAATGTATACTATAGATAAATAATAGAAAAATGATAAGTATATGATATCTGTCTTTCCCCATAAGAGAAAGAGTGAGAGAGATAAAATATATCTATAAATATATATATATATCAGGTACATTATCATCGCCAGCAAGTAGACAGTCGTCAGAGGACAGCGCGACCACCGCCAACCAGCCGACCATGTGGCTCGGCACTGAGGACGGCTGCATACACGTCTACAATTGCTTGGATAATATACGGATTAAGAAGAATAAAGTGAAATTGCAACACAATTCTGGAGTGCATTCCATTGTGTAAGTATTTTGGGAATAATTTAATCTTGACGTTTTTTTGAGTTAAAGTCTAGAAATATAAGGTAACTGTATGTGATTAGGGACAAGATTAAAAACTTAGGTTTAAAATTAATACGTATAATAAGTACATAGGTATAAAGTATCTAGTACGCGAGCGTTTGGGTCGCCGCCGTCAGAGCAAGTACTGTACAGTAGTAGGGAGCCCGATGCCCCGCCTCTGCACCCGCGCTCCACCTAGTGTTGTCGTTGACAGTTTCATTACAGCTGCAGATTTGGAAATACAGAAAGGGCCAAACAGTTTTTAGCTTTTTTTGTTAAGAAATACTCTATAATGCTCAGAGTCAATAATATGTTCAAAGTGTTCCATTACTATGCCTCAGAAAGTACGTTAATCCTCTGGCCTGCCGCATGATTCTCACTGGTCTTTTCCCCACACGCATTGCGCTATGATATATCACAATATCTTCTGAGCTAGTTAGGGCTCCTAGGCTCAGATAAACTGGATACCGTGGTCAAAATTAATCAATAACTCATTATTACTTTGGAATATGCTTAATATACCAACCAATATATACCGAACACGAACACTGTTGACTGTTGAGCTGTAACACAGCTCTAAATGTTTTTTGCATATATCCATACTAATATTATAAATGTGAAAGTGTGTTTGTTTGTTAGTTTGTTTGACCTTCTTTCACGTCAAAATGGAGTGACGGATTTGCGTGATTTTTTGTGTGCAGATAGTTGGAATGTTGTAGAGTGACCTAGGCTACTTTTACCGCGGGAGGAAATTACGTTATACAACCAAAAAAATATTTATGATCAGAATTACTTGACACTTGGTATAAATGCTCTTCAATACAATTAAATTAATACGTATTTTAGCATTTTTCGAAATTCATATTTTAAGAGGGTTAAATAGGGGATGAAAGTTTCTATGAAACCTACCTTTCTAGAGTTTTTTTTGGAGTTTTAGCGCGAGCAAATCCGCGGGTTCTGCTAGCTATATAAAGTAAAAATAAAATATATGTATAGGAAAATCATTTTGATTTGATATTACATAATGTTTGTTTTATATTATCAGGTATATGGAGGGTAAAGTGTTTGTGGCGCTTGGGAACGGCGATCTCGTTGTGTATTGTAGAGATATTGGTAAGATATTAGATTTTTTTACATAATATATGTATTTACATATAATATTGATAGTTGCAATTGTGCACACACTCTAGATACAAATAGATTTTTAAAACTATGTAAAAATGTACGTTTGTCTGCTTGTCTGTTTGTTATATCGGATTCGTTACTGCACTATTATACATATTTTATATTTAATATTGGTGCATTATTTGATCGATTACCACAAATATATAATAGATACCCTTATCTATTTCTCCCGCCAAGCAACAATGATTACATTGTTGTGTTCCGGTTTGAAGTATAAGGTAGCCAGCGAAATTACAGGCAAGAGGCATCTTAGTCCTCACAGTGACAACGCACCAACGGTTCTGCATTTTTGTAACATAAAATCTAAGTGCATGAACCGTAGGTGTTATGGGCGACACGTATTGCTTTTCATCAGGTGGTCTGTCTGCTCGTTTGTCACAGAACACCTTAAAAACAAGATACAGTGTACATTAAATAAGTATTTCAATCATGTCGTATGTTAGATCGTCTCATGTATTGTATAGTTATAAATCTAACCGCATTAGGCGATCATGACCGATACCACGGTCTCGGTGACCTAGGTTTTTATGGTGGTCGCGACCACATGTAAACGGTAATCCAATTAAGGTAGTCGGAGCAATAAACGAGAATACTTAGTAAAATTATCACACAAGTATCGTTATTATTATGAATCATTGGTATCACTGGCTTGATTTTTTTTAGTTAAATTACTCCTCTCACGCTTGAGGTTTGCTGGAAAGAATCTTTTATACACATGATATTTGGTTTTTATTTGTATATTTTTTGTGGTATATACAAAAGATAGAATTATAATAAACATAGACGGTTCGTGGACGGAGCGGTCGACGATCCCGGTGGGGTCCGGCGGCGGCGGCGGCGCGCCCGTCAGCAGCATGCTGCTGTCCGAGGGCCGGCTGTGGTGCGCCTCGCACTCCTCCATCAAGATCATCAACCCGCATACCTTGCAGGTATTGTCGGAATACTATTGTTAATGTGCATGTCTGTATGTGTGTGTGTGTTTGTTACTCCTTTATACTAAAACGGTTGGGTCAATTTAGGTTTTTACTGGAATAAAACATAGGGTACTGTCAATAATAAAATTTGCAAAAAAGAGTATAATTTATTTAAATTATACACGTTTATTAAAAAAAAGTTGCTGATAAAAAATATAATGAAATACAATATCGAAAAAAACAAAATAGCTTTAAATGAGTTTAAAAGAGAATTATAGGTATTAAATTGTATATTTAATAATACTTACAGTACAAATCATGTTCGTGTGGGGGATTATAGCGAAATGCTAGCTGCATTTTGTCGCTGAATGCGAATTCTTTGGCCGTAAACCGAGTGAGATACATATCAGTACAGGCAATTCAATTCTAGTGCGACCATTTTAAGTATCTACTTTAACAAAATGTGGGAACACAAAAGATTAACTTATAATCTATCGGTATATTTATATTGTTCGGTAAATATATCCTAAAACAAAACCCCACCAGGTGGACGAAACATTCCAAATAAGCTCGGAGGCGAAGCCGATCAGCCACATGGCGGTGGCGGGCGCGGCGGTGTGGCTGTCGCTGCACAACGCGGCCACGCTGCGCTGCTACCACGCCGCCGCGCGCGACCTGCTCGCCGACATCAACATCACGCCGCACGTCACCAAGATGTTACACGGTCTGTGCAACTACATCTCGTATATATATACACACATATACATATATATATATATATATATATATATATATATATATACATCCGTATATTTAACATCTATATATTAATACGAATATTAAACAAAAACTTTTTACCCATTTTTTACGAAAATTACGCGGACGTACGAGTATGAAATTTCCTACACTTATAGTTTCTATAGAGAAGGAGTGCAGAATGCTAATATTTTTTTTAATTATGCATAAAAAATACATTAAATCAATAAATAAAACTTTACACACACTACCATGTATTTGACACACATATACGCATATTTTCTTTTGTTTATTGTTTAAGTCTGTTGCCAAATTGAGAATTATCTATAGTTTAATAGCTATTGATGAGCTTATGTATTATAAATAAAAAAATCTATAATAATCATGGTCGAAGTTCTAACACTCGCCAAACTCTTTAAAATTTCTTAAATCCACGATATTAAAGCCTAATATAAAATATTATTAATAACCGTCGTGCGTAACCTGTGTTGTAGAATGCACATTAACTAACAATAAAGCTACTGACACATACTATGTAATATGTACAGTCTTTATATACGTATATTTACATCATATGTATATTTAAAGTTCATATTCAAAACTGCTACGATACGGAGTTACAATGTAGTGTACCAGCACACTCCCAAGGTTGTTAAATAGCATTACATAGCTTTGAAATTGAACTTTAATTTAAAGTCCACATTCAAAAGTATGATACCGAGTAAGGACGTAGTGCGCGCCGGCCCGCAGGCTGCGACGACATCATCCGGCAGCACAAGGCGGCGTGCCTGCGCGTGACGGCGCTGCGCGCGCACCGCGACACGCTGTGGGTGGGCACGAGCGCCGGCGTGCTGCTCTCCGCGCCGCTGCACAACTCGCCCAACGCGCGCACCGGCGCCTTCGCCGTGCCGCCCATCAGCGGTACATTATATACTATTATATATATATATATATAAAATAAAGTCGTGTCAGTTGCACCATTTATAGGTCAAGAACGGCTGGACCAATTTTTATGATATTTGATTGTTTTGTATGTCTCTTAGTCCGGAATAGAATAATAAGTATTAAAACCTCGAAAAAATTAACGAAAAAAAATAACATTTACATTGTTAACGCTGGATGATAACTATTTATATCTATTTAAATCGTACCTAGTGACGAACCCGAGCGAAACAAGGGTGAGCCGCTAGTACATAATTTCAAAAAAATCGTCGAATCTGTACATTAAATTTTTTTTTGGAATTTTTTTATTGAAATAGTCCTTCTTATCGATACAGAGGCCTAATCTATAGTTTTTAGAATTTTTGGCTGGCTGTCTGTGTTGTTTTTCGCCATGAAATTTATATTTATTAGCAATTGTATTATTTGCCATTAACAAGAAAATTGATTTGAATTGTATTTTTGACAACCTTAGTATTTATTAACAACAGGATTTTTATACTGTGCTGTAATATTGTTTTTGGCTGTCTTCTTAGTTTAGTGGCTAATTTTTTATAGATTTGGAGATATTGGGTTCGAGTTTCGGGTCAGGCTAAGTATAATAAGACGATTTTTCTGTTATAAAATTCTCAATAACAACTTGAAGTTAGGAAGCCCAATCCATATAATTGTCGGCTTTGCGTCTGATCGTTCTAACGTCACTACAGTTTGACACTTAGAATTATTCTGCCACAGGACTTTGAGAGTGAAAGGAATAGAAAATGTACTTAACTGAATAATTCTACGCTTGCTACGTTTTAATTTAATGTTTCTTTTATTAGTTGATTATGAAAGCTCCGTTCAAATTAATCAAACTTTTCTCAACCTATGTCCAAAGTGACAGAGAAATGTAATTTTTTTGGGCATTTAATTTTAGTTTGAAAAACATTTTTTTCTACTACATATTACAAAAAATATATAAAAAAATATCTATGTAATTTCTTAAATTTAATGAAATATATATTACAATTTGTATCTTATTTCAGGTATCCACTATGGTCACACTGGTCATGTGCGATTTTTGACCATTGTCGAAAATCCTGTCACTCATAAACCAGCGGCCAAACCGACACAAAGCCTAAAAACAAAAGCATTAAGTCGACGATCTCAGAACGCGGAGAAAATGCAAAAGCAAACGGAATCCACACAAAGTAATAAGGAAACTCTAATCATCTCAGGGGGAGATGGTTATGAGGACTTTAGAAGTTCATCTATGACTGAGGATGCTGGGAGGGAAGATTCAACAAATCATTTACTTTTATGGAGAGTATGAACAAATTTACGGCCTACAGGGTTAAAAAATCCCGAAACTTCATGTTTCGATTCAATTTCAAACGTAAATTGAAGATAAAATAATTTTCGTATCTAAGAAATGATGCAGGAATTTGTTTACATCTAAAACAGAGTAAATTTAACATATAATATGATTGGATCAAAATTATTTTTTGAACTTTGAAATTCTTATTCCATATCTCAGATATGCCTTCTCAAATGGTATATAATATGTACAATATCTACATTGGAAAAAGTTTTTGTACTATATAATACAAATATAGAGAAATCTAATTCATTGGTAAATAAATGTTTTAGCTTTTTAAAATTGTTGATATGAATTTAAATTTAGGATATTAAAATTGTTTTGCGTTAGAGCATAGAGTATTGAGATTATTAACTGTTAAGTTAGGACATAAAATGTCGAAAATCATCAAAATTTTACATTTTATAAACGCGTACAGTATTATACGGTGTGTAAGACCAACACGGTCTTATACCTAACATACGATCACAAAGTTTTAGAGAGATTTACGTAATGTATGTAATCTAATCATATCATAGTACTGAATGTCTGTTGGTGTTGCTATCATTAAATAATGGCAATTTGCTAGTTTTACGAAAATGAATGTGTACCTAATAAATTAAATTTGTGTATACATACAATTTCATTTATAGGTTACCGGTGTGTTTGAAAGTTGAAACAAGCTTTTTCACGTCTGCTTTTATGAAAATCAGACGAACTACCAAACTGGTTTAATTTTAACTCTTTATCAAAATAAATATTGTTCTCAGTAGATCTCTTGATAGTGTTAAATCATATATTCTATGGATTACGAAGCTTATAGAGCAGAGAAAATTATTGCTCAAATAAAATTCTTATATGTTACCTATCAGAAATTAAATGTCAGAGCAAAGTTTGTAATTATTTTATATATGGATGCGTAGATATCGATAAATGAAGCTGAAGATGAATAAAATGAAATCGCACTTAAAATATTTGTTTTTATTTATCCCGATTTCTTCATGTATAGAATAGATTTTGACTTATGTGCCATATAACGGTTTGGTATTTACCTTGAAATTACAAATATACTTAATTAATTATTTATTTTTATTTATTTATTTATTTATTTATCATAAAATATATGTTATACAAAATAAAGCAACAGCATGTCGACAAAGGATAACTTATCGCTTAAGATATTCCTTCCAGAAACCCTTCAGAAGTGAGAAAATAAGTTAATTTAGTGCGGTTTAGTTCAGCATTAAATGTTATAAACTTAATCTATACATATAATAAAATTGTAACTAAGCCAAATCTGTACATAAAATATTTTTTGGAAAATCTTATTGAAATAAACATTATTATTGATACAGAGGCCGAATCTATAGTTTTTAGATCTTTTGTCTGTCTGTCTATCTGTTACCGCATCACAGAAAAACCACTGGAGCTGTTTATCCGGGTCAACACAATATAGGATACTTTTTACCGCGGGAAAATGTCTCATTTCTGAGAAAAAGTACAAAAACTGCAATGAAATGTACCTATACTAATATGTAAAACATAAGAATTTGGTTTTTGGTCATCTGAACGCGGGCGGAGCCGCGGGCAGTGCTAGTATTAAAATAAATCAACTAAATATTATAATTATACAAAAAATTATATACTTATACCCACATACATTACATACAAGCATATACGTACATTCTTATTACTTATACATTATATCTGATTTGATAAATAGTGCTGTTTAATTCTAAATTTAAAAGTTGTGAGTGAGGGATCATCTTTGAAAATATAATCAGGCAGTGAGTTCCACAATCTTGATAATTATATGTATGTATATATACAGCCCTTTTTAACGTCCCACTGCTGGGCACGGGCCTCCCTTCAATACGAGGGGGATCAGATAATGATAATTATATACATATTACATATATATATACATACATATTACATATATATATGTACACTTAATTATTACTGTACAAGTCATGTCCGTGTGGAATAGTGGCAAGAATGCTAGACCGCATTCCCCCGTTGAATAGATTGCCATTCAATTTGATTTTTTGGGCGAAAAACGAGTCAGCCCTTCTGTCACCAGTATAGGCGTTATGACAATTTGTTTAACACGGTGATTCAATCGATATCTTATTTTCCCATTAAATAACAACTGAAGCTTTCTGTGTTTTGTGTGAAATTCTCAATTTTACTCTGTATGTATGTCATCTATTGTTTCAGTAATATAATTTTTCTGTTTTATTTTAAATTTGTGTTTTGAGGAATGATTTAGCATTTCGACTCCATGGTCCAACGGTTTCTTTAGCATATCGTATTATGGCATAATTTTGACTGAGGTATTCATCTTGTTTATTATATTATGAATACAAAGTGGTATCGGTACACTATGACGTATAGTAATTAATAGCAATATTGAATTAGCTTCCTTTTACAAAGTTAATTTTGTGGATACATATATACTCTTAATTTGTTTACTGAAATATTAAATAAGAGTATTGAATGATATTTACAGTATACCCTTTTTTTAATGTTGGAATAACTTCTTACTGTAACAGTCTAACGCATTTGAATGAATTTCGTTAAAAAGATTTTTTCTGTATTACCACGATTGATATATAAAAACATAGATACACATTTTCTAACAACCTATCTCTTAAAAACGTGGAATTGAAGTCAAACGTATGGAAAAAAATTCAAAAATCGAAAGTTCTATAACACTTTAACTTTTTAAATTACATATAGAACAATAATTAATATTATATTTTATATTTTACTTTATGGTTATAATGATAATAATGGCAGCACTAAATATAGATTACTAATTAATATTTTTAAAATTGTAATAATTATAATAATAACAGAAAAATTAAATAAATAATATTCCATCCATATCCGATTATAAAACTAATTAAAATTATAAAATTGTGCACTTCTTTTTGAGGACACTTTTGAGACGCTAATTGTATATCTTGAGTTTTTGTATATCAATGATTAGCACATATGACATTGAGACTCCCACTCGAGAAGAGCCGTGGACAAGAACTGGTGATGCTATAAAACTGTATAACTTTTATTTTCTTACGTATTTTGTTTATAAACCTCAATATTTTTATTGAAAACTAGCGACTAGTGGGCCACCCTTATCACTTAGGGGTATGGAAAATAGATAGTAGCCGATTCTCAGAACTACTGATTACGCATATAAAATTTGGTAAATATCGGTAAAGCCGTTTCGGAGGAGTACGGTAACAAACATTGTGACATGGAAATTTTATATATAAGATAAGAAACACATAGAAAATATTTTACATGTCTCATCTTGTATTTTTCATATAAAATCAGGATGTAGGATATAGTAATAATAGGTCTATTATGTTTAAAATAATATAAATAAAAATTATTAAATATGTACTTGCATCAGGAAAATATACCTACATGCTTTTTTAAAGTTTAATGGCAAATTTCAATAATATTTATTATTATATGCATCATTCTACACAGTATCAAAAGCTTCGCTAGTTTTTGAATTAAAATAATTACAAAATAAAGCATTTTCTAATGTAATTTATTGAATTTCTATAATGGAAATAAACAAGTCAATCTGTCAATAAAAATAATTTTTAATGTACCTACGATATACGAATCATTGCAGCCTAGTCTAAAAATCTACATTGTATTTTTTACTTTTTTTCATAATTTCCTAAGGCTTATTTAAATATAAGTGAACAGTTACATTTACATTGCCACATTGCCGTATTTCTCATTCTAGTACTAATCGCACATTACCAAAATTTTACTAATAAAATCTTGTACATTTAACTTTTCTTTTGATTCATCATTTTTCTTGCCTCTACTCACGAAATATGGATCCATTTGCAGCTGTAACGCTAATTTCTTCAAAATCGTTCTTCTATTTCGTTCTGGATCATTTATATCTCGCTTAACTTTATTTCCTTGAATTTTTTTCATTAACAAATTAACTGTTGAACAAACTAGCTCTTTAGTTTTGTAAAGGTGGTCGTCGTTTGTTGTAGAATTATCAGTTTTAATAGATGCGTCCTTTTTACCTCTAGCTATGTAATATGGATCATTCCTTACAGACTTCACTAATTCTTCTAACGACCCTCGTCTCCCTCGGGTTCCATTATCTAAATCATATTCGTTATATTTTTTGCCTCTTGAAATAAAAAATGGATCTTCCTCTGCCGAAGAACGACTACTGCGTTCAACTAAAATATAACGAGGCTCTTCAGCATAAATTCTAGAATCATGGACTGTGTTTGGTTCAAAATATTTAGAACGTAACTCATAATTGTCTCCTTTTATTTGATCATTTAAAATATGATGCAATCGATTTCTTATTTTTCCATTAAATAACGATTGAAGCTTACTGTCTCTTCCTCTATTTGTCCAAAATTGTGCTTCTTGCCGTCTGTTCCTAGAGAAATTCTCAATTTTACTTTGTATATCATCTACAGTTTCAATAATAGAATTTTTTAGCTTTATTTTATATTTATCTTGATATTTGCCATAAGGTTCGTCTACTTCATTTATATAAATAGTTTTTACTTTGTTTTTTTCGCCATTATTTCCAATAATTGAATTTTCTCGTCTGCCTCTATTGCCCCAGAAAGGCTCTTGCTCTTGGCGTCTCCCTCGGTTACCCCAAAAAGGTTCATCGTCATCACGTCTCCCTCTGTTCCCCCAAAATGGAGGAAGTTCTTCTCGACGGCCTCTTGTTCCCCAAAACGGTTCTTCATCTTGTCTCCTTCCTCTGTTCGCCCAAAACAGACTAACATCATTTTCATCTAATTCACCAGAGTCACGTCTTCCTCGATTACCCCAAAAGGGAGAATCCCCTTCATCCCTTCGCAATTTATTTTGATAATTTAATAATGATTTATATAAGTCAATTTTCTCCAAATATTTATGATGATTGTATGTTGGTAATTGTACATTAGGAACGGTTTCTTCAGAAGAGTCTCTCCGTCCTCGCGCACCCCAAAATGGAAGTTCTTTATCAGCAATCGGTTGTAACTTTACTACTCTGCCCCTTTCTTCTACGATGTGGTCATGCTGGGTTAAATCCTTACTAGATATAAACAGTTTATCAATATCTTCATTTAATGATCTTTTTGTCCGAGATTTGCTATCTTTTTGTTTGGTATTATTGTGGATAAGCTTTATGGATTTGGTTTTATTAATATTTTTTCCATAAACATGATCGTTTATTGCAAGGAAAAATATTAATAGTAGACATAGTTTTATTTCCATGATTTTGGCACTGAAAATAAAATAAATATGTGAATATATAGTGAAATAAGCGCTAAGACTTAATATAGATCAATTCATAAATATTAAGACATTTAGTAAGTAATTACTAATTTTCATTTTCACTAAATATTGAATGCTCCCTGAAAGATATATTAGGTGCAAATTATAGCTTTTTAACCCGCTTCAATCAGTAATATTGATAATAATTTAAGGAACTTGTTAAAAAAGAGCAAAAATTCTAAGAATTTATAAGAAGCCACCAAAAAGTTCCACTATTTACACCCTGGCTTTATCATTAGATTGGCTCGATTGTATTAAATTATTGTGTTGTCATCCAGGTTTCACATATTTATATCATAAAACTTAATTTTATATGAAGTCAATAAAAACCAAATTGAAAATCAAATACTTACAGTCAGTTATAATAAATGAGCATATTCAAACTATAATATAATATAACTAAGTATATGATGGTCACTTCGCGATAGTTGAGAAATATGTGGAAAGGAAAAACAAAGCTGCAGCTTTTATAAAGAAGCTGTTCGTAGGCGGGGAGGTCCCTCAGGGGTGGCGGAACGAAATTTATTTTTTTACTCTTTGCAGTCTAACTCAGATGGGACATGTGACCGTTATTACATTAAAACAATGCTAGTGAGATATTGTATTGGACTTACCGTAAGGGGAAGCTATTTAGAAATGAAAAATATTTATTATATTTATTTATTTAGTACCTACCTAACAATATACTTATTCAATACTAGCGACTCACCCTCGCCTCGCTCGGGTTCGTGCCTAGCTTGGTTCCCCATACAAACTTCCATCCCCATTTTCACCCTCTTAAAGGATGATTTCCGGTAAAAAAATTATGTTATGTCCTTCCCAGTCTTAAACTATCTTCTTACCAAATTTCATCTAAATCGGTTTAGTAGATCCAGAGATTACCCCCTACAACGTCACGTACTCACAAACTTTACCTCTTTATAATATTAGTATAGATTTCATCATGATCATGATTATTTACTTTTTTATTAAATATTCGATCTAACAGAATATATTCATTTTTTTAATCTGTGAATTCATACAAAATACTGTTTCATTTTTACAATTATTTTTTTCTCAAACACTTCAATCAAATTATTACGTATATCTTATAAAATATATAAATTAAATCGGTCTAACCGTTATCAAGAGATCCGTACAGTATGTTAGGTAAAATGTATTAATGATCATGGGAAGCACACTATATCATTCGTCCAGCTTTGTTTATTTTTAATAATATGAACTTATTGTTGCTTAAACTTAATGGTACTTATTGCTCACAAAAATATTCTTCCACGTGACGTATGACTATTACAAAATCGTGCCTCAACAGTATCTTGATAGACTTTTAAAATGTTTAAAATATCTACAAATGTATACAAATTTAATAAAATGCAATATAAAAACAACATTTTAACCAGTAAAATTTGTCTATATTCGCTGGAATACTGTTATAATTTCGATTTGGTAAAGTAAGGCTTAAAATAAACAATTTTACTAAGCTATGGAAGCTTACAGAATTAGTTCTAGATATTTTAATTATTTTACATAACAGTATAGTTATTTTATAGTTAATTAGTAAATCTAGTTATTTTATAATAGTTAACTAAAATGACCAAATAGGAAAGATTGATAATAATAATTAAATGCTTATCGAATAAATTAACATGGATGTAATAATATAATAAGGCTTATAAATATTTTATATAAAATTTCTTATTCGTTCTCAAAATATTTTTTTAAAGAAGATAACTGCGAACGTGTTTATCCTCCTAACATTTATAAGAGACAGCCCTTGAAGGGTTGTTTTTGATGTAAAGACAAATCTATCAAAAAGAAGATTCAATGAATATGTTATGTTTTATTAGGACGACCACTTTTTTCAATTTGATTATAATATGTTATGATATGCCACAATAACTTGTGAAAAACAATAAAATAGATTATTATGAAATCTATGCCCGATTTTAGACTTATTACCACAAAATAAATATACCTAATATAGATGAATGGAAATAATGCAGTAAGTTCAAACCTAAAAAGTTTAGAATCCTGTAAAATATTCCTTGCAACGGGACATAGTGTTAATCAGTGTACTAAATTAATTATTAATGAGAAAATTTATATGTTATACTGTGTAGTTATAAACTGCATTTACGCATACTACCAATACTTACAGGTTGTTATGCGGAGCTTCGTAGGATTGCTTACGCGCTCAACCACGACGCCCCGACTTCAGGCCTGCTGAAGCAGACCACACAACCAAGGACTGCTTTCACGATCCACTCTGCTATCAAAGAAGTCTGGTACTTCCGCATGGCGCACCATCCACTGAAATCACCCAGTGGTCTCTTGATTTCACGCCCGGCTGGAAAGTCGGACGCTAATTAGAGTAGATGCGCGCAAGACCGCAGACAAAAACTAGTATTTAATCTAGTCGATCTTTCTCGAAATCAAACCTATGATTGCTGGCACAATTCCTAGCAGATATACCTTTACCTACGATTCTGCTCCACTGCAGTCTTCATTTTCTAAAGAAGTTCAAAAGTATTTTACGAAAAAAGGTATAAAATGTATTTAAGTTACATTCATCTTAACAACATTACGTTAACTATCAAGCGCTATGTGTCCAGTTTCCTTGATTACGTACAGGGAGAAACGGAGGGTGAGTTGGACTGAAACGAGCCTCTTAATATTATTGAATTTTTTTTCTGTTAAATTGTATTGAATTTAGACAATTTCTATAGAATATTACCACAGATCACATAATACTTTATTAGTACAGATGCCTCATCCCATACAATGAATTGGAGAGCGCTAATTCGGGCTATTCTTCGGGCTATTTTTATTTGCTTGAATTATTAATAGATGTCGTTAATTCGAAAATTGTTATTTATAAAGCTTTATTTTAAGAATATGTGCAAACTAACTTATGCTTAATATTGTAAAATTCATCCCGTATTCGAATAAAAAATCAGTGATTTATAAAAAGTAAAAGCGCCATCTGTGAACATATACTACAAACCCATCACCTAATTGCACATTTTTCAGTAATCAGTAAAATTATGCCAATTTGATTTTTGAGTTCATTATTTTGTTTCCCTTCACTTAGAATATTTTTTAAAACAATGATATACCTTTTTGGAATCATTTTTTCTTATCTTTTGTTAATTTAACACAACTTTAATAACAAATTCATGCATGTACGTCATCTATTAACATTTATTTGAACCAATTTTTCTTTGTACGTGATAAAAACCCGTGCTAAATACTTCATTCATATTAATAAGTATGAATAAGAAAATACGAAACCACTGTTAATAATAAGTATTATTCTTATTAAAAAGGTATTTTTTTAAGTACCTACAGTATTAAATATCGAAATACTACAAAATCCAATTGGATTCGTCACAATAACCTATAGTTACAAATTATATTGTATATAATAGTCATTAGACCAATCGGAATCTGTTTATTTTTAAGAGAAAATAAAAATATATTGTTGTATAAAAATGTAGCTTACAAAGTAAAATTTATTCATTGTCGCCATTTTTTTTTATTTTTAAAGGTATTTTTACAGGACAACCATACAATGTATTTAATTTTTTTAAATTAGAGTTCAAGACGAAAAGAAAAAGCCCTATCTGAAAATGGAACGACTTATTTTTTAAATGTAAACGTCCACTTGAAGTTGGGGGTGATTTTCAGCCTCTGGAGACTATAAAACATACTTTTCTCGAAAATGGCCAAACATTGCAATTTCATTTTTTTTATTTATTATATATATTTTGAAGATTATTTTCACTTAATTTCATGAAAATCAAAAGATTATTCTATAAATTAAAAATAAAAAACCAAGAAAAGTTAAAAATCGAGTTTTCTGCAAATATCTCGAAAACTTTGAGGTTATTGTAAAAAGTGTTATAAATAACATTTTTATAAATAAAAGTTGAAGATTTTTTCTAGACCTATAACTTTTGTAGAAGACATTTTTCGATAGAACCTCACAGTAAGCCGGAAATTGAAAAAAAAAACTATTTTTCAACGCTTTGCGTCCCCTCATTTCTCGGTGGTAGCTGAGTATCGGAGGAATTTTACGAATTTCTATTCCATAAATACCTGCTAACATTTTAAAATTATAAAATTTAATGTTTTCAACATTTTATTCCCAACCTGGATTCCGATTGATCTATATAGATAATTTGAACATAAGGTTAGATACATACATGATGACAGCTTATTAAAAGCATCACAACCTGAGGTTTAGTAGTAGGAAAACTTAAATATATTTAAGGAATATGAAAAGATAAAAATAAAAACAGTACAAGTTTTTACAGTATAAAATAAATAATAATATCAAAATCTGTTTATTAATTTTCTATCTATAAATGTTTACGATAAATATTATCTTACATACCAAAATATGTTCTGCTATCGTGTTATCAACTACTCATTTTTCGGCGCTTACTTTACGATGATGACTCATTGTTATGACATAATCCTTTGCATGCTATACCAAAAATTAGCATTACGAAATACAGGCTCGTTAGCTCAGCGGTTAGAGCGCCCTATTAAACATTTGACTGTGGTGGTCGGGGGTTCAAGTCCCTCACGAGCCGTTCTTTTTTCCATTTTTCCAAACATCGTTTTCGTCACTTAACTGTATTTTTTTCCTGATGGTAAAAATAGGAAAGCGTTACTAAGCGGTAGAATTTTTGTTAAAGTTTTAAGTTTAAAGTCCAAAAAATCCCGGTTCATTGTTTAGGGGACGCTAAAAATTTTTTTATTATTAAACAGTTTAAATTCAATACACTTTGCTATTCTGCAATTTAATACATTACTAACTTTTTTTAGTTTTGTTAACCGACTTCCAATTCCAAAAAGGAGGAGGTTCTCAATTCGTCGGATTTTTTTTTTTATGTAGGTATGTTCACCGATTACTCGAAGACGCCTGAACCGAT